AATTGAGATTAGTCCACCCGAAAGTTGATGAAGTAATTAAAAAAATTTCAAATCTAACCGTATAACACTAAATTATTTAAACAAATGTTAAAAATTCAAATCTTCGCATTATTAAAATACCTTAGTCTGTATGGAATCCAATTTTGCTGCCAGAAAAATAATAGAAATTATAAAGAAAAAAAACCCTTAAATAAAGGAAGCGTTGTCACAACACAAATAGTAGAAAGCAATGATGGGTTGCAAATTGACTTGGAAAAGGCTAAAACTGAGAACCCCACCTTCAGTGTACATTTCCTGAGGAAGACTGTGTCCATGAAACCTTGTTTTCATTGTTCAGTAAATGATAATAGACGCCATGTGATGTGAGGGATCACAAGCCTATGATTCCTTTTGACGTTGGACTGTAGCCTCCAATTCCCTTTTCTTTTCCTTTTTTCCCCATTAAATGATTTTGGAAATTACCAATAAGAACAAGATTCCTTCTTCCATTTTTCTACAATAACACCTCAAGAATTTTCAGTGCCGGGAGATTAAATTTTTCCCATGTCGATTCATGTACGTACCATGGTGGAATCAATAATTATACACAATTATTTTCAAGATTCTGTCACTTGATACCAAGGCGAATGTGAGGGGATGGAAGTGGTTTGCCCCGAAAATGGTATAATTTCTTTATGATCCCTGTAAAAGTTTTAATTTATAATTTAATATAATGATAAAATTAAACTAACCTCTAAAATAATTGTTTCATTGCTATCTTCTTATTTCAATTGACGACTTCGTCCTACTGGATACACATGATTTCAAGGGAAATTTTGTTCTTAATTGAACTCATAACCTAAAAAAAAGAGATGTCATCTGAGAATTTTTGACCACTTACCCTATAGGCGGTTGAAGATGAACATGATATTATAATTAAATTTTAAACTTCAAAACAATACATGAAGTTAGAAGATATCTAAAATATGAGTAGCATATTATACTTGAATTACATAATAGTTTATGGCTTCAATAATTAAGGCTTACAAAAGTGATAGGTTGAGGGACCATGTTGTATCACACATGTGAGGATGCAAGTGGGAACGAGTAATGGAGGGGAAAAGAGGTAACAATAATAATAAAGGTACAGCGCTGCCTGCTAAAAAGAACTCTGGAATTGGACAAGTTGGTGGTGGGTGCCTCAGGCTACCTAGGACAAAGCCTTCCACAGAAAACGGTAACTGACGGTGACCGCCGTTGGCCCTTTTCTTGGGGACGTGTTCGTCTATGGTTGGAGCTTTACTTCTCTCCATCTGTTGTTATTTTATCTAATTATATATCGAGAACCCATCAGGGGAAACAGGTTTTAGTGAAGGGGTTTCATTTATCATTGTGTCAAGACAAACGTCTCAGCTTCTTGGATTTTCCTGCAACAAAGTAGAAAGTTTTTTTGATTAATTTATTTAGCGATTTGAATCAACTTCTGGGCTGTTTTCATCGATTAGATGTCACTTGACTAATTATCTCTCATCACTTCTGTTTCTCCTTTTTCAACTTGTTTTTATGGAAATGAACAAAAAATATGGGAAGCGTCGGACTACAATCAATTTTAGAACAAAAGCACTCTCACCTTTGCATGTACGTATGTATACGTTGTTGGCTATAAAACAAATATAAAATAAAATTATTGTATTGTGATACAAACTATTGTTTTAAAAATAATTTATCATAGTTGGTATACATACCTAAATGAATAAGAATAATTTAATCGATATTTATCTCTTTGAAGAAAGAAACAAGAGAAGGGAAGAAACTAGTGTTTTTTTAAATATAAAAACATATTGTAAACCTTACATTTTATAGATCAATTTAAAGGAACAAAACGACAAAATAACACTTGAAACACTCAATCTGAAACTTCCAAAAATTATTGAATAAATATTATATTTACTTTATAACAGTTAAAATCGAAATAGTGATATTTTTATAATAAATATCATTATTTATTGTATTTAATATATATAATAAATAAGTATTAAAAAATTATCAGACAACAAAATAAAGAAACATTCACAATTTTCAAAAGTCATTTCCAGAATCTATTTTTATTCAATCAGATCTTAAATTGATCATCCAATTGCAGCTGTCTGAAAAAATTGAGAATATCCCTTATGAACAAAATTCAAACCGAAGTTCCCAGGAAAGGTGCAGCTAAAGACAATTACACGCAAGGGATTGCAGACAAAGTGCCTGGGAAAACAGCAAGAGAACGAATGCACGTATGGATGCCACTCCGTTTACATGAGCTTTGCCTTGGAAAAATCCATCAGCTAAAACAGCCAGACATGGAGGGGAAGTATTGAGTTTCTGAAGTGAATAGTTTACCTCGGACATGGATTTCTTTAAGAGTTCCTGCTTCCGAAGCTCATCACTGGTTGGAAGGCCCATCGCCTTCTGTTTTTGGTCGAACTGTACAGGAAGACAAGTTCACGAGTTCAGATTATTATGAATCTTTAAGCCACAAAGAAAACGGACTCTAATGTAAATATATATAAAGCAAGTACTGATATTAAGAATGCCAGACTCTATGAGAGAACCTTTAGTAGAATTTCTTAATGCCTATAAATACTTTTTTTCTCTTTGGAAGTCAAATAACAATATTGGATTTGAATTTGGAGATTCTAATCTCACATTTTATATAGCTCAGAGAAAATATTATAAATTATAAATAAATAAATAAAGAATTGACTGACAGTAAGTTACAAAAACCACGTGCCTACGAGACATCGGTTATATTGGTAAAGGTCGAAGATTTGAAACTTTTGTGTTTCTTGATTCGTTTCCCTGTACACTGATGATAGTTTGGTATACCTGAGATGAGAGCTCTAATGGCAGATAGAAGCTATCAAGACGCAAAATAGAGGGAAAAAAAGAACAGATAGAAAGGGTTACCATCATTTTCTCCAGAGTTTGTCGTGTTTCTGGATCCAAGTCGGACAGTTCGCTGTTCTCTGGTTTAACTTTCTGGGTGTCAATTTCAGGATCTCCTTTCACCAATGATTCCCATTACTCCATTTGGTTGTGCTTTGTGAAAAGGATTGAGATCGATTATCCTCTACAGGAAACGGGAAAAAAATGTGAAAACGACGTTCAGTTAATATCTATCTCATTCTCTTCAAGTGATTTACCAGTGCTCCAGTAACAATCATCGGGCTTGACAGCTTGGTAAAGCTCCCCCTGAAAATAAAAAGGAAATATGTTACTCCGATGTAAACCAACTAGGAACTTTCGAAATCACATGCGCTAACCTACATCGATAACAGGAGGCTGGTCCCCGACTCCAACTTTTAGATGCTTCTTCTTAATCTCACACACAACAAACTTCGATCTAGTTCCGATCGGAACGCGGGAACATTAACAGCGACCTCTTCCAGGGTCTGTGTCCAAGAGTAATTCTCCAGATCAAGACCATTGCCCTTGTTTGGAACTGTCCAAACATTTAGAAAAATGTAAAACAATATATATTACTATTCTCCGTCTTTTTGCAGATTCACAAACAACCTATGCTATAAACACAATTTAAATCCCTAAATTTTGCTTTCCCCTTATCTTTTCATCAAATTAGCTTCGCTTGCAACAAATTGCAATAATAATGACACAATAAAAATGGAAGAATGATATATGTCATATATGTACCTCTCGGGCCAGAGATAGTCTCTTCATCCTTCACATCCTCCTTTTTATCGACCTCCGTTGCTTCCTTCTCCACTTCTTTCTTCATTTCCTTCTCTTCCTTTACTTCCTTCATATTCTCCACTTTCTGAGCCTCCTCTTCAACCATCTTCTTGCTCTTCTCCTTGGCAACTCTCACGATCTCCGCCACCTCCTTATCGATCGACGTTCACTTTCACAAGAAAATCACTCTCTTTAGGAATAAAATCGGAAACCTTCTCCAAGAACTCAACAGGATTTGCCGGATCCAAGCTGGCAGTAAACGACACCGGTTTAGCCGCCGACGCCGGAGATGCCGATGGCTTTTCCTCCTCCTCTTCTTGGTACTCTGTGACTATTGCCATTGCTATCAACAAAAATCCTAACTGTGGCTCAGGCGAAGTACGGTTAGTTGCTTAGTTGTTGGGATCTTGAAGTTTCGTTCAGGGTTTATAATATATATAGTAACGAGGAAAAGGGCGGGAAAGATGTTAAAGAATCTACGAGTTCAACAGAGAATTCCAGAATCTTTTTTGCAAGACTCTTATTGGAATATTTGCTATAAACGTCCTTCTTTTTATATCTGATTACTAAAACATCTTTCTTTATTACTATTATAATTTTAAGGTAATATAAGATTCTAGAATGGATTTTTTTGAAAAGCTAGAATGGGATTTTCTTGTTTGATTTTGTATTATTAACTATAACAATATAAATTATTAATAATAAACACTGTTTTACTAAAAAAAAATTAAAGTACACGCATTAATAGGTGGGTTGATTTGTTCCCTCCTATCCAAATATATTTCAAATAAATTAAATTAAATTTAAATTTAAATTTTTATTGCTTTCAAATTAAAAAATAAATAATGTGGTCAAGTTGGACTTGCTGGGGCTGTAGTAATTTTGTTTGTTCGGCTTGGTTTTAGTATAGAAGTTATTAGACTATAAAAGGCTCTTAACTGATCTGGCATGGATACATCGTAAGCCTATATTTTCTAGCCATCAGTCATTATTGCCTTTATCAAAGTCTCCCACGTTTGGCTGTTATTATTGTTCATCATCTATCGTCATTGTTGATGATTATTAGATCAAGACAATTTGTAATTAAAATTAATTTGACATTTTATTTAAAGTTAATAAAATTAAAAGAAGTGTATATATATTTTTAAATCTTTCAATTATCGAAGATGATAGTTAACAATACTTGACGAGAGATTTTGATCTGATTTATATTTTATTTAAAGTTTAAGGGTTAAATTAAAATTTTATTAAAGTTTAATAATTAAATTAAAAATTAATCATTTTAATTAAAGTGAGTTCGAGTATTGTTTAAGGGTTAACAATACTTGACGCCTCAGGACGCAAAATTCCATCTCACTGAGAGCTCTATCGCCGTCGGTATCACCTTCTTCCACCATGCTCACCAGCTCGTCGTGTCTCAAATCCTGCAACCCCATCAGCGCCGCGTTCCTCTTCAAGCTCTCGACAGTTATCACCCGTTTCTCCTTGTCCATCAACAGCTCAAACCAATTGCTCAGCTCCTTCATTAGCCCTTCTCCTCCCAGATTCTCCGCTATCACCGGCAACAAGTCCTCGAACTCAGCAACCGATTTACCGATACCCGCCATTGCAAAAACTCCTTATGATCTTTTCAAAGAAAGCTCTTGGTTTTGTGTTGGGTTGTTTGAAGAGTGAAGCTCTGTGTTATTTATACAGGCATTTGAGGATTAGAGAAAAGGGAAATGGGTTTTCTTGGAAAGTGGATTGGGATTATGGGCGGTCGGCTTTGATTCTTGCAGGAGCTGAGCTGAAACAGCCTCTGTTTCGGAGAAGTTGTTGTCAATTGGTTTTGGGTTTTTTTTTTAATGTTTGATAGTACTAATGATTCATGTTATGGATTTTTCATAGCAAATTGCAATGAAGACTCAAATTGTCATCAACATACAATCACCGAATCACGTTCGGACGTATGATATGAACTTCCCTCGTTGCATATATTTTTACGTTTTTTTTATAAATTTATGGTAAATAAAAAATATAGTATTTATTCGTATATTTTCAACTATTTGATAATGAGTGCTCATATCCTTGTATGTACGGTGCTTAAATCTAGGACTTCAGATGATAATAGCGATCCCTTAACTATCAAGATCACTGATTTATATATAATTTATTATATTAAATTTGAGGCTATATGAAAATAATAATAACTCTTGATAAAATAATGTCAGACTTTTTAAAATTTTTAAAAATCTTTGAAAGCCTTAACTAATTTCTTTTATAAGTTATGAGAGGTTTAGTAAGATTTTTTAATATATATATATATATATATATATATGATTAGGTTTAATGCAAAATTCCTAAAATTTTAAAAGGTGGATAGAGACAAAAGAGTATTGTTGAGAATTACTGGGTTACTATGGACAATGGATGTCAGTTTCAAAAGAATATTTTAACCCCGTAGATTTTCTTTTTATTTTAATTTTTGTTTGAATTTTTTTAACACGGCCCCTAAAATTCTATATTTGATTGATTAAATTACTAAAGTTGTATATTTTTTTGTTTCAATAAAATTCAGTATCGTTTCAAGTTAAAAAAATGTTTCGGTCATTTATAATAATAATTTGAATATAGATTGTACGCAATTCATGTTGCTAAACATTATTTTTGTTAGTATTAATTAGTAAATAAGTAAAATAAAGTTATCATATTGTGATAAAAAAGCATCGTTTTATAAGTGATCTCATCTTTAGAGTATAATAATGAAATAGACATTGTCTCGTAGATTAGATAAATTACTTTAAAACTCGTACACGAAAATAAAAAGATAAAATTTAAGAAGATTAATCTTTATAAGATAAAAGAGAGAGATTGAAAAGAGAGAGAGAGAGAGAGAGACCATTGTTTTGAAATTTATAAATTATATTACAAAGGAGTAAGACTGGTCTTTATCTGATCATTGTCAATCCGAACTGGCTAACTCCAGCTGGATCCCAGCCTGCAAGATCACTATGCTAAGATATATAGTTGAGTAGTAGGCCGAAGCCGAACTGGCCAACTCCAGCAGGATCCCAGCCTGCAAGATCACTAAGCTAAGATATATAGTTGAGTAGTAGGCCAAAGCCCAAGCCGCGACTGATGGTGGTAGAATAGAAACGTCCAATATGAAACCCAAAGCTTGAAATTTTGCCTCATTTTAGTCGGACGTTGTTGCTGGATTTTGTACACTAATGCTTTGCTACATGCAAGTTATTACAGTTAAGCATGCATGGACGATCCTTTTGTCTCATAGGGTATAAGATTCTCTTATTTTATGGTTCATTTAGGCTCATTGATCATTTAATTTATACTGAATATTACAAAGATTTAAATACAAACCTAAAATTTATTAAAGAGACTTAATGTCTTATTTTATTGATAATCGATAAAATTTTCCTATCTTTAATACAATAAAAGTGCAAAATCGTTGCTCTAGAAGCCTTTTTGTGTCGCCTCATACGGCCTTCTGGATGGCATGGGACATGTGAGAAATGTCGAGTCGTGTGAACTAGGGAAATCACGTATCCTTGTTGGAATACAAAGCTTTGATAATCAGTTTAGGATATTGCTGGTGATTGATCCTTAAAGTCAATTTCAGGATTAAGTGGAACGTATAAAAGGGAATGATAATTCATGGTTAATGGGGTAGTGTTGAAATGAGGAAGGGCCAGCCATGTGCTCCTCCTTATCTCTGTCGTACGGGGTGGAACCTGTCCAGAAAGCCACACCGACCGTACGATCATGATGATATCCATGAAATTGAATCAACAAACATTCATTAATTTAGAAACATCAGTGGATCAAAATTCAAACATTCATATTTAATGTTTCATTCATGTAGAAATATATATTAAAATTTTGAAAAATTAAAATATATAATTATTAATTTCATGAAAGGAAGTGGGACACAAATAAAAAAAATAAACCCATAGCTTATGATTAAACTAAAATGACAAAAATAAATAAAACAGAAAAGACAAAGGCAAATAGCCCAAATGACCTAAACCTTGTCCATTGGGATGCAAATTACAATGGTTGACAACCCAACCCAACACCTCAGACTTTTCCCATCTCCCTTAATAGCTAGCTAGTCCCAAACATATTATTCCACTGCGACACGTCCATTGGGGGGGTTAAGGTAATTGGCTTTCTGGTCAGCCCCATACTAGAGATGAACTGGAAGGTCTTGGGCAATCGGCATAGGTGAGTGATGAGTTGGACCACAGTTTCTGTCAGCTTTCTCTTCAGGCTTTTCGGCTGTAAAAGTTTGTGACATGCCTGTTGCTCTTCTCCATGCGTCCCTCTGTATTATTGTATCCTTTCTATCATCCATAAATCAGTATTTTTCATGTCACATTAGTGTCGTGGCAGCTGGAAAAAAGCACAAGAACATTAATAGGAAAAGGAGATACCTACATTATTGCCGACTTTGGCTTAACTAAAGGCTCGATCGTACAATTATCTCTCAACAATCTTTAACAACGTCAACTGGTCCTAAAACCAAAATGATTTTGAAATTATATTAAAAAGGTAGTGGGAAAAGAGGGGGAAAAGCTTCATACACTTCTTTAAAAGCATCAACTTTCGGATTGGTAAAGAAATAAAAAAAATACATTATATGTGATTGTATTACGAGTAATATTTTAAAGTCATCATTGAATCATTTTACTTATCGAGGTTAATAATTATATTATTATTGTTAAGTACATGATAAATATTTTCTTTTGTTATAATTTTACTTGTTCTCAATGTCGTGCACATGTAGGGACGAAATTATGTTTTGTGCTCCGAGGCCACTACCCCGGTTTTTATTACTAATATATATTAGTTTGAGGTGAATACAAGGTTAATTTGTTCAAAGATTATAAATTATTTGATATTAAATGCTCATACATCCCGACATATATAGTGTTCGAACTTGAGACCTCAATAAATAATAACAATTTCTTAATTATTGAGGTCATTTAGTTCGTGCATATATATATATATATACACACATTTAGACATTTTAATTTCAATTTATTTTAATTTTAGTCACTCATTTTTATTATTAATTGTATTTTATCTATTTAAATTGGTATATTAGCTCGTCCCAGTGCACATGACGATGATTTAATAGTATATTACGTGAATGCTTTCAAGAAAGTTGTATTTGTTCCTATGTACGATAATAGCATGGCTACGTCCAACATAATGGATCAAGGTCAATACAGATGGAGCCGGGGTTTCTCTCACAGATTCGCTGTTGCAGGTGTTATTACAGAGATGGAGACCATCATGGTCGTTGTTTGACAGGTTTTGCACCCAACATTGGGATCTTCTCGGTGCTTGATGTGGAAATATGGGATGCAGGAATATGGGTAGGATTCAAAGAAATTTACTTCCCCGTTTAGGTGTAATTATAATCACAAAAACAGTATTCAAAGAAATATATATATATATATATAAAAGCAAGACAAACCCAAAAGCCACTACAAAAAATAAACAAAGCCGAAAGCCAAAATCACTGATAATGGTGATGATCTAGCCTATAGTATTTAATGCATTATTTACATAAATTCACTGAAATCAAAACCGTCAGGAATTTCAAACTTGAGCAAGCTGCTGAAGCTTTCTCTCTCGTCATCCACACTGCTGCTGCACGTCGACGACGAATTCAACGGCGTAGGACTTGATATCGGCGTTGACCTCAAAGAATCCAAGGTGAAATTCTGGCTGCACCCATTCACTGACCGAGTGTTCGAATTTTCAGACACAAGAGGAACCTCCGAATCTGAACTGCACTGAATATAATTTGGTTGCGAACCTAACGTTTCTTGGGAATTTGGGCAGCAGAAAAACCCTTCTCCAGTGGTTTGCATGGGTTGAACTTGAAAATGGTTTGATTGTAACGTCGGAGGAGGAGCTAGGTTTTCTTGAGAATTATTACAAATCTGCTGGTTTTGCTGGAGATGTTGTAAGATTATTTCTGGGTTCTCTTCTTTCAACGACAAGAGGGTGTTGGCTAGCAGCAATAATTGAGGGTTTAGGAGAGCTTGTGCACCTAACAAGCTTGACACATTGACAAGCGACTGGTTGCACAAAGTGGAGCTCAGAATGGACGAAAGATCAAGAAAATCGAGTCGAGGCGCATGCGTCACCGGATCGATCCCGTTTCTCAGAAGCCTTTTCCTTATATGAGTGTTCCAGTAGTTCTTGATCTCGTTATCTGTCCTTCCCGGCAAGCGAGCGGCAATATCCGACCATCTGATTTACATAAATGAATCAGGTAAGCTATGCTCATGAAAACGACTACACAACAACTTAACATTGACCAAGATGCACACTTTATGCTTTAATGGAAGTTTTAAATGAATTAAATAGATGGAAAATCATACTTGTTGCCCAAAATACTGTGCAGTTGAATTATCGTCTCTTCTTCTTCAAACGAAAACCTTCCTCTCTTGATATCAGGTCTAAGGTAGTTTGTCCATCTCAGACGGCAACTCTTTCCACACCTTTCCAGCCCTAAACAGTTCAAATAAAAGCATCATCAGAATCTGACCATACATACATGCATGCATACATAGGAGACAATTCCATACCAGCTTTCTTAGGAAGGGTACGCCAGTTGCCGGGGCCATGAATCTGAATATAGTTAGTAAGCTTGAGATCTTCTTCCGGTGTCCATGGACCTTTCTTGAGGCCAATTTTGTCACAGCAAGGTGTTCTCCCCATTGATTTTGCTTTGAAGGAATTGAAAGTTACAAATGATGGCTGATCAAGGAGTGAGTGGCGGGTGGAGGACGAGTCCTAGAAGGGAAAATGCCGAAAAGTGCAAGTGGTGGATCCCAAAGAAACGATGGGGACCCTATATATATTGATGGGAATCAGCACAAAGGGTTTCCAATGTTGAAGTCAATGAAATTTGGTGCCGGCCTCTTAACACGTGTCTTTTTCTTTCTGCAGTTCATGTTTACGTACATATTACTAAAAAATGTACATGTTTAATTAGATTTGTATCATCATTGTTTATACATTTTAATTTCTTTAAAAGAAAATATTTCTCACCTCTTTAACGCGTGACATTCTCCAATACTCAATTTCGAGACATTCATGTCATGAGTCATCATCATAGTTATCCACTTTATCTATCCCATCTACCTACTAGGACATTTAATATGAAATCAGACGGTCAAAGAGTCATTCAAATATCATTTGTCACATGATTATTTCTCTCTTCTAAAAAAACATGTTTGAAGAGATGTCCAACTATCATTTATAAATTTTAAGTTTTTTTTCTTTTTCGATATAAATTTAATATAACGAAAGAAATTTAGATATATCACACATAAAAATTATAAAAATTGTATTTATTTTTGCAATAAGAGTATTAAAAGGCAAAGCAATTATGATTATGATTGATGTTAAAATATGGACCGCCATTTGAAATTTTAGCTTGAATCAACTCATATTTATTTAAGATGTTTTTCCTTTTAATTATGATTATTTGTGATAGCATCTTCGATTTCATTATCTAAACATAATGAGAATGGCTTGCCACAAACTTCTTGTTAACGTGATTGGTTGAATATTGATTATAAGTCCTTTCAACGAATAATTAGGTTGAGTGTACACAAACCTTTTTAACTAGTGGACTATGTACAAAATGATTCATAATCTCTAAAAGCACTTTTTTTAAAAGAAAAAATACATAATATTATATAATTCACATTTAAAAATAAAAGATAAAATATAATTATATATAGTTATTTAAAAAATCACATGTTTGATTGTCACGTAAATTAAAGACAATAATATAATAGATCTTTTATCGGCTTCAAATTATAACAACAAATCTTGTTTCAAACGACCTTAAAATTACAGACTTTAACCCAAAAAATAAATTAAAAATCGACTCCAATCCGATTCAATAAGGATGAGTAACTAAATATGCTTTTAGTTTGACCGTATTTGTGCGTCTGACACTTGATAACGATTGGGCGGTAAAGGTAGTTAAGGAAGCTGTCCAAATAGAAGAAAACGCGACACTATTCCATTGCACGTCTTCGCCGAAATTTGAACTTTTACCAACACTGCACTAAAATGTTCATCTACGTACGTTAGCCTTCATCATCGAATCGATCATATTATGTCAACACTTTCCTAGCTGGACCCTCATTCGGACCAAACCACTATGTTTCGGGCACGTGAACCAGAAACAGCACCAGGTGTTGTGTCTAATTCCACCTATAAAGTCAACCCTCCCCTTCAATTTTAGTTTTCGTTCGATCAAGACCAGTTTCCCTCTCAAAATTCGTGGTCCAGGTTAAGTTCGACAGTTGTTCTAAAAAGGGTTAAAGGGTGAAGCTGCTTTTTTAAGGCCAGCATTGAACGCAGGATAAGTGGATGATTAATTCAAACACATTTGACAATAAGGCGCAAGTGTTCATCCACCCCTATCTAACATGACACCATTTGGTCAAATGCTTGTTTCCTTGCCGAAGATCACCATCATGTTGCTTGTTTCCTTGCCTTTCCTTTTATATGCATCTCTTTGTCAATTTTAATTAATTAATATCTTTGAGTATTCTTTAAAATTAGTATATTAATTAATAGAAGGAACATTAAGCAACGTATATCATGATGACATGTCCCTTGTATGACTTCAAACTCTCCAAAGGGGAAAAAAAGGATTTTGGCCCATAGATTTTAATGTTATTTGTTTTATTTAAGATTTAAAGTTTTCGATCTAATGTTTATATTTAGGGTTTAGGATTTAGGATTTAAAGATTAATATTTAGGGTTTATAAGCTAGAGTTTGGAGTTCTTATTTATGATTTAGAATTTAGAATTTATGGTTTAAGCGTTAATGCGTAGGTTTTAATATAAAAAACTAAAATAAATAAGATTATGGAATCTACATTTGAAAACACATATACATCAAATAATTTTTCATATATATTATTAATGCATAAAAAATAGATTGAAAATGTGGCTGAAATGTCACGTCTAGGCCTTGGTCGGGGAAATTTCATGCAATAGTTCGTCACATTGATTGAGCAGTGGTTCATAATTTAATCTATGCTATTACATACCTGTCGCAAATCTAGGGTTTGCTTCTGCATGAGATTGCCATATATGGACATGCATGAATCCATGTCTTTAAAGTTAACCAAAACAATATTTTAGAAATATATGCATATATGGTAGTTATTACACAAAATTCGTTTGTTAATTTATGGTTGTAAGGTGTCCATGATCCCTCAACAAACTTTGAATATTTAGCGATTAAATTTAACAAAACATATATGAGTTGATTTGGATTAAATAAGTTTTTAGCCATTAAATTTAACAAAACTAATATTTAAAAGACTTAACATGACATTTACTCCTTTTAGTGAAGTTAATTGGCTAAAATTTCCAGTAGCATGTTTTAATCAAACACCTTTTAAATATATTTAAAAATGGGACAATGCAAGTATCTTTTGAAAGTTTTAGGGACAAAATAGTCTTAACAAATTCAGGGACAACTCGATACAAAGAGTATTCTTTAAGGGACAAATAGGCTTTTAAGACATTTTTTTAATTATCAATTAAATATTATCTGAAATTGATACGTTAAATAAAATATTAATTTTACTTTATTCATTATTATCATTCAAAGATATTAGTATAGATAATTTAATTTATTAATAATAAAAAATTAATAATATAATTTGATTAAATCAAAATTTTATGATCTAGTACAATCCTCTTGGTTAGCTCGATCGTGTGGGTAGTTTGAATTTGGGGACACGTGGTTAAGGTTGAAGGTGCAAGTGTAGACAGAGTGTGAAACGATTACACGTAGAGGATCAAACGGAGTTGTTGAATTAGATAGCTGGATGCTGGCGTCAATGCAATACTTGATGGACACGGCCACCGTGATGCACGTCTATATGTATGATATTACTAACACAATATAAATAATTAATTAGGTTTATAACCTAATTTTGTATATTATATACTTTAAAATACGGTCAAACCATGCATCTATCGCCTTATATTATTCGAATGAAGGTTCCACGTGCATGTTTTTGGTGGTAGATTCACTCATGAATGCCCATATAATTCATTTAATTTCCTGTGTATTACTTAACGACACTGAAAACTTAGTGTATATTTGCTTAGTACATATATAAAATAAAAATGGACTGGTTAGTTTAAATATAAATTTTGGTAATATATATATATATATATATTATAACACTTGAACTATTGATTAAAAGAGAAAAAATTAAAAAAATGATATTTTAGCATAGTTAATATTTAATGAGTACTAGAATAAAAATAAAATAAAATATTATATATGATTTTAGAAAAAAAATAGTTAAATGATTAATTATTAAAAAACACTTATTAGGTATGATTTTAGAGAAAAAAATTATTTAATGACCAAAATAAAAATTTGAGAATAAATGAAGTACCAAACAAGTAGCTTACATTTTAACTATTAATTTAATATATTTTCAAAGCCCAATAAGTCTGGACCCATCATCAGATATTGGGCTCTTTAACTTCGGAGTCCATGGAAATTTGAAGAAATTTAAATTGTTACAAATTTATAGAAATTGAAATTATTATTGATTTAAGGGTAAACTATGTGAATAGTCCCCTATGTTTTCAGTCTAACCGAGTTTGGTCACCAATTTAAAAATTAAGGGGAAATGGTCCCTAATGTTATCTATCCATTCGATTTTAGTACCTAATGTTATTGATCCGTTCGATTTTAGTCTCTCAACCGTTAACTACAGTTCAATTTTAGTCCCTCAACCGTTAACTACAGTTCAATTTTAGTCCCTCAACCATGTTATAGACTTAAATAAAATGGGGTTAACGAAAATTAATAGCAAATGGACTTAAACTGGACAAACCAATAATGTGAGGACCATTTACCCTTAATTTTTAAATTAGTGACCAAAGTCGGTCAAACCCTAAACAAAAATAAATATTCACATAGTTTACCCTTAATTTAAATGAACTTAGTTATAAATTTAAGGAAATATATATTGTTATACATTTAAACGGTTAGAAACTTATGAAAATTAAAATTAATTTAAATGAAGTTAGTTATAAATTTGGAGAAATCTAAATTGTTATAAACCTAACTATAACTTAAATCCGGTATTATGATATGAAAAAAAATTATAATACTAATAAATAATAAAAACAAAAAGAAATGTCACTAATGATTTTTTTTGCGAATAAGGTTTACAGTACGATGATCATTGATTCTCACGTATGAGATTTCTCTATAGTAATTATTATTCAACAAGATTGTCATTGTCATTGTTTTCATCATCTTAACCTACATTATCACTGACATTGTCGACTTTCATGTGTGTTGGTTGGACACGTTCATTCATTGAAACACCTCATTGTATGATGATGGGTGAATAACGAATGTAAAGGTGCTTGATCAACAATCTCATTGTTGACTGCAGAAATTCAGTAAATATCATCGGTGAAAATAATGTCATTAGTTGAACTGATTGAATGGGCTATGGTGGTATTGGTGAAATAGATTTATCATTTAAATACAATATGTACAAAGTAAATATAGAGTATGATAGAACTAATGTGTAATAATCTTATGTTAAACTCGATATAATCATATGGACGGAACAAAACATGGTGTATGACGCGATGTTTTGAGCGGTTTCACTAATGCCAAATTGAAAGGGTTCATTATTCTATGAATTGAAACATAATACGAAATTTGTTCAATATATTACTCTATCCGACTCATCATTTGTGCCTTATATTGATTATGTACATAATTCTAAGAAATACATTTGACTACGAGAAATTAAAAATTATCTTCAAAAAAGTTATTGATAGATTTATTTTAATATGTGTAAAAGAGTATTACACACAAGGGTAAAAAATGAAATATAAGTGTTATTGTTTATTGATTTTTCTTACAAGACATTTTGAATGAGACAATTTTAAAAATAAAAAAAGACACATTTCGTTGGATTGAGAAAGTATCACATAAGGCAAAACGGTCTTTTAAAAAAACATAAATGATCAAACGTGTATTTATTTTATATTTTTAAAAATGTAAAATAAAAATTAACCATACATGAATGTTAATTTAGAAATGGTAAACTACTTGAATGACCGTTTAACTATGAGATTAGTGTCAATACGACCATCGTTTTATAAATTTTGTCAATATGACCACTTAACTATTTAATTGGTTTCAATCAAGCTACATGCCATTAATATTTGATGGAAGTATTGATGTGACAATTAATAAAATTATTATAATTATATATTTAGTCCTCAAGACTTACACATTCTATTAATTTAGTCATAGTTTTTATTTAATTAAAAAATTAACAATCTAATAAGGAGGTATCACATGTCAACCAATTATTGTGACAATTCTCTAGTGACACGTGTCATCATCTTATTGGAGATTTTTCAATTAAATTAAATATTAAAATTAATAAAAAAAACTCTCCAATCACGTGATGACATGTGTCACTAGTGAAATATCAAAATAATCAATTGACACGAGGCACCTCCAGATAATTAATTTTTTGAATTAAATTAAAATTATAATTAAATTAATAGAATATGTAAGTATTGAAGATCAAATATAAATTATACCAATTTTATTAACTCATGATGATCGGTTGGAAATATTACTATTGAAACCATCAAAATATCTAAATTAGGATGTCTTCTCTAAGGTTGCATTTTATCCATAAATGTAACACCCCCAATCCGTACCGACCCGAATACGAGTCTAAGGTGTCACATTAACTTTTTAAACTTTGACTCTTGACAGAATTAAAGGAAATTCAAAACTTTCATTAAAATAAAGTAGTTTATTTACATAAGTTGACCAAAATAAACAAAATCGACCAGAGCATTCATAACTAACACCTTTCCTTACATGCCAACATACTATACAAAAATCAACATACATACTTTATTAGTTACTTCTGATATGATCTTCTAGCAGTGTTGCTGTTCTTGCCACTCTTATTTTTGTTCTTCCCGATTCTTGGTACCTACGTGTAAATCACTTACACGCTAAGTCACAGACTTAGTTAGACATAACATAAATATATGTATATACATATATAACAACGAATTCATGATCATGCACTCTTACCATTGATCATGACATTTCAACTTGCATGTACCTATTACACTATAACATATATGATGATAACATGCACATATATAAAACTTGTATTCTTATGCTAGTTTCACTTTAATTTATCTTTGGATCGCCCATGTACGTTATTGAGAACAAAAGGTACGCAAGTACACTGAGGTTGTGCACAATGCTGTCACCACAACTCGAATAAAATCCCACTAGGGGCACTGAATATTTGTCCCGAAGGACCACTATGTCCCAAAGGACCATTGATAGTCCCTCGACTCTTGACATGCCAATTATACCTACAGCTCTCACATTAAGTAACATAATCATTTTCATTATTTCCCATACCTGAATGGATTCTCATATAATTGCACTCATTCAAATAAGTTCATATTAAAGCATGAATGAATTATGCATGAAAGCACTATAACATTAATACATATATAAATATGCATGTACATGAATGTGAAATCATAAGTTTAACTATAAGAGATAGACTAATCGCAAGTCTTATCTCAATACAATTTTATATAAGATATGCACTCACCTTAGCCTTGCTTTGACTCGATTCTAATCATTCGATTGTTCTGGAACAAGATTACGTTCTATATCTACATAGTAATACATTGGTACATATCAATATACTAATTGATATATTCTAAACTATCACTCCTTAGGCTAAAAAGAAAGCTATTTTCATCTTTTAATGAACGTATGCATCGATGCACTCTACAGTGTATCAATGCATTCCTTAACGTGTGCATCGATGCACTACCTGTGCATCGGTACACAAATCACCTTCGATGTTTTAATCTTAAGGGGGTGCATCGATGCACTCCTCATGCATCGATGCACTAATTACATTCGATGTTCATTTATTTGAGAGTGCATCGATACACATTGAAGATGCATCGATGCACATAATCTAGAAATTCCATTTTAAGCACGAAATTCATTCTCTTTTCATCTCAACTCTTCATCTTTCACCTCCTTTAATATCCCTAACTTGAATACACATGCTTAAACTAATTTATACCCATTCAATATCTCTTAAACTTCAAAATTCAATCCTCCACATAAAATTCAAGAATCTCACTCAAATTCCAACATGTTCTAAAGCTAATTATAACATTTCATATTCTTTAATCAAGTTGGTGACAAGTCAAATTCAACTTCCAATTCTCATTATGAACTTTATTTCAAAATTTCATTCAAGAACTCCTAACCTTTAATCCTTCCTACACTCTTCATCTTGTTGTTTTAAGATAAATTAAGCTTTCTTTAAGCTTAATTATCATCTAACGATCAAAACAAAACTTAAATTTCAGCAAACAATTAGCTCATGAGAAATCTCACCTTTGTTTTGAACCTTTCACGTGTGGAGAAAGAAGAGAAGAAGAGAACTCTGGAACCTTGTGTTTTGCTTCATTCTCTTCCACATGTAGCTAATATATATCTCTTCTTTAATTATTTTCCATGCAAATGACTATTCTATCCTTCAATTCCACCTTTCTTGAAATTTAACCCTATACCAAATTACAATACTATTCAATTATTCTGCTTTAGTCACCAAATTCTGAAATTTTACAATTTAGTCACTAACTCGGTATTGAGGATGTTACAATAAAAGCTAGAACTCATCCCCAAAAGAAGAAGCAAAATGGCGAGCCGAGCCTGCACAATCAAAGTCGTGGAGCATAGCCATGTTTCTCCTCCAGTAGGATCAGTGCTCAATACCTCCATTCCTCTTTCTTTCTTCGATCTGGCATGGTTTTTTTGCAACCCTATGCAAAGCCTCTTCTTCTATCAATTACCTTGCTCTACTTTCCGTTTCACCCACTCCATTCTCCCTTCCCTCAAATCATCTCTCTCTTCTACTCTCCAAATCTTTTACCCTTTCGCCGCCAACCTCATATGCCCTCCTTCACCACAAAAGCCCCATATTCTTTACACACGTGGAGATTCCATCTCTTTCACCGTTTCCGAGTCTTCTGCTGATTTCGATCATACCATTCGCTACCATGCTCGAGATGTACAAGATCTCCTCCCCTTCGTCCCAGATCTGCCTCACGCACTTGTGCACAACAACACACGTGTTCAGCCACTTCTGGCGTTACAAGTCACGGTGTTCCCAAACTCGGGGATATGTATTGGGGCCGCGTTTAGCCATGTGGTAGCAGATGGAAGGTCGTTCCATCATTTCATGAAATCTTGGGCGTCCATTTTTAGATCTGCTGGAAACTCAGCACAGGCCATGCCGTTCTTAAATAGGAGTGTTGTACAGGAAAGAGACCCTTGTGGGCTTGCATCAGTTTTCTTGAACCAGTTGTGGAGTTTGGCGTCTAACTCGGAGGACGACAAGGAACAAGTCTACCACGGCGTTTTTGCAGACAACATTCGAACCACATTAGTTCTGAGTCGAGTTGACATCGAGGGACTAAAAACTCGTGTCTTGAATCAGTGCATCGAGAAATATGGAGCGGAGCTGCCACGCGCATCAACATTCGTGGGTGCTTGTGCTTTGGTCTGGACTTGTTTGGTAAAAACCCAAAAGCTCAGTGGTAGCGTAGAACATCACCAAGATGGCGAATTTCACTACTTCGGCTTCGTGGCAGACTGTAGAAACATGCCCGAATTAGCTATACCAGCGGCATACTTCGGCAACTGTCTAGCAATGTGTATTCCACGAGTAATGGGGAATGAACTGGTGGGGGAGAATGGCGTGTTTGCAGCCACGAAAGCCATTGGAAACAGAGTCGAGGAATTTCAAAACGGAGCATTAAGAGGAGCTGAGAAATGGATTACTAATTGGATCGAAATATCAGAAACGGGTCGTCTTTCAACGGTGTCTGGCTCCCCTAAGTTACGTGCTTACGATACCGATTTCGGGTGGGGTAAACCGAAGAAGACCGATGTGGTGCATAGTAATGCTTCGACTACTATATATCTTGGGGACTGTAGAGACGAGGAAGGAGGTATTGAGATCAGTTTGACACTTAAAAGAGATGAAATGGAAGCATTCACCGGCTTCTTTGAACAAGGCTTGAAGGCAATTTAACTGCTTATAAACTAGATTCCTCAAGCCGTCAACTCCTCACTCTGTCTGTGGTGGTTTTTGATTTCTGCATGTAGTTTGCTTTGCTTTTGTTGACATTTACCATTAGGGTTTGCAAGTGCCATGGTCTTTAGACATGTTTGGTAAGAATCATCTAATAATATTGTTACATGGACTCAGCTAAGATATGTATTTAGCTAAGAATCATCTAAAAGTAACATATGAATACATGGATCTTTGTACTCTTAAGCTTAAATATATTTATGTATTTTAAAAAATTTAAATTTTCTCGTCTCACATTATTAATGTGTAAATCTCATAAAATTAAATAAATTAAAAAGAATCATCTCAATCGAATATCTCAACACAAAATCATAATTTTTTAAAGTTTCATACTAAAATAACATACTAATAATCTTGTTTACCTCAATTTCTGAATTTTTTATTTTAATATATATAATTTTAAGGTTTGTTAATTTAATTCTGAAAATATAAAAAATAACAAGTAATATAAACACGTATCCTACGGCAAAAGTGTTTGAATAATGCAATGGAAAAAAAATTCCTCACACAGTGCAATCGAACAATTATTTGCTTAAGTATGGTGATTGCTACAGTGACCACCATAGGTCTCCAGGAGCACATGACGACCTCCATAGGTCTCCAGGAGCACACGACAACCTATTGAGCACTTGGTGATCTATGGAGCTGCAACAGGGAGGGAAGAGAGAAGTGTTGCTACAACAGAAGATGTTTTATCGCAAGGAACACTTGACGACCAATGAGGTAACTGTAGCAAACACCACAATTCAAAAAATAATTTGAGTAGAGCCCCGTATGAAGAATTTTTTTTTCCAACACCCTACATGGGTGAGGAAGCCCATATACTACAATACAAACTTTTTAAATACGAGATTGACAGAATATAATTTGACCCTAGATAGTAAATGACATCTTATATAAAAATAGTCATAATTTATAAAATTAATTTATTTTAAGTATCATTAATTAAAATAATATTATTTAGATTAAAATCCCAACCAAGTACAGTGAATATGGTAGACTGGTAGGTTTACACTTTCGTAGGTGACGATGGTAGACTGGTAGGCACTTGTATTTCAATAATTTTATTTATTCTTCAATTCGATGGTCAATATCGTAAGAGGCTAAGAACCTACCACGTGCGTATAAAACATAACAGAAAATATACAAATAATGCATTTATTAATAAAATCAAGTAAATGTAGCATCTCCTAAAGATTAAGACAATATACAAATAATGCATTTATTAGTTTAAATGTAAATATTTTTCTACATTATCAAACAGAATTAATTATAAAATAAAAATAAACAATAAATTTTGTGTAATCTCGATTTTTAAGAACATGAATAAAAAAATTAATTTAAAACACTATAATTTAATTTGATTAGCTTCAGTTGAGCAAGTACATTTGGTCGATTTGTCAAGTTTCTTGTCTTTATTCCCTCATATTCTATTAGATCATGAATTCTAAACTCACCCGAAACATTCTTCTTCATTCCCTTAGAGTCTCTCTTTCCCTTTCTTTCTAGGTAGGATTAAGATTATATTTAGAAATTATTAAAAAAATGATTAATTTCAATTCTTAAGTTTTTATCGTGTAAAATTTTATTATTTTAAAATTTTAAATTAATTTTTAAAAATATAACTTTAGTTATAGCGTTAATTTTTTGGCATTATATGCTAAGTTTTCAAAGTTGTTTTTATAAATATTTTAAAAAATAATCAATAATTCTTATGCAGTATATTCAAATTATTTGTATTTTTGTTGATGAGAACAAGTTTATCTCGTCGGCTGTTGGTGGTTCACCCTTTTGAATTAGACGAAAAGCCATGAATGGTGATAAAATGATCGTTGATAAATGTATTCTTGCGGGGGAGATGAAGACATAAGGAGAGTGTATATGAGTGAAGGAGAAGGCATTCAAAGGATCACATCTCAGTTGTAGTTGTGAAATATTTATAGTGACTCTAGATGATGGAGTCATGCATAGAATTATCATGGCTACTCGTAGGTCAGCAGGATAAATAAATTAAGTCGTTAGATCTTGAATCTTACTTTAGTAGATCATGCGGGTCTGTTAGAGGTCTTATTTATATATTATAGTTGTCTTAGAGATTATGGTGCTCTTGCCTGTGCCAGGAAGACATGAGTTCCTTGGAGACTCCTCCAGAAAGACCCATTTTAAAAAAAAAATTAATTAAATTTAAAAAAATTAATTAATTTTAAAAAAATTAACATAAAACATTTAAAATCTAAATTCAACCTAAAAAAAATAAAGTTAGCCCAATTGAATATTCATAAATAGTTAAATTTTAAAAAAATAAAATTAATTGTAGATAAAAGAAATAATTTAGAGTGAAAAGAAATAAATGGTTTGGTCAAAGCTATGGAAGGGTATGGCGTGCATTTGGGCAGATGTGAAAAGGAATATTATTTGGTGCTTTGGTCATGGTAGGGATGTGGATATCTTGTTCGATAGCTGGCTTGCTGATTTTGGTCCTTTGATTAACCATGTTAAGGTAGCTGGAGAAGTTGGCTTGCAACGGGTCACGGTGGTTGATATGGCGGATGAGTTGGGGAATTGAAATGGAGTCACTTTGAACAGTACCTTCCTGTAAATGTACTGATGCGCATTGTTGCAATAAAGGGGCCTCAAGTACATTTTGGACCTGCTTCAGTAGGTTGGAATCCTCGCAAGGACCGTTATTTCTCGGTGAAAACGACTTATGCGGTTCAGACAGGGAACAATGGTGGCATGGAGAATCCTCGCGAAGTTTAAGGGGCTACAAAAGGTGAAGTTGTTCTTATGGCTAGTGTGGGGTGATAGAGTTCTGACAAATTTGGAGCGGAAGAGGCGCCATCTCACTATGGACAGCAGGTGTCTTTTATGTGCTGATCCAGTGGAGGACATCAACCATTTGTTACGTACTTACGTCACCGCCCGCCGGCCTTGACAGTATGGAGCTCAGTGGTGAAGACGGAGCGGTTACAGGAATATTTGACGATGGATATGCAAGACTGGATTAGGGTGAATATAAGCGATTATCGGGAGTTAGTTGGGGATGTCGAGGTTTGGGATATCCTCTTTGTTGCAATAGTCTGGAAACTCTGGATTCAACGTAACGTGGTAGTCTTCAATAATCCTCCTGATGATGGGACACCCGTTCTAGAGCGAAGTAAACAATTAAGGGAAACCATTTGTAGAGCGATGAACGGGGGGCGACTCGTACCATCTCCATGGGGCGAAGGAAAATAGACAAAATTTCTTGGCAGTCCCCTCCCGCTGGATGGCTCAAAGTGAATACTGATGGGGCTAGACAGACGACAACCTGCCTAGCAGCTTGTGGAGTGGTTCGTGATAACGCTGGAGTATGGCAGATGGGTTTTACCAAGTTTATTGGTAGCTGCTCGGTTTTGGAAGTGGAGTTATGGGGAGTCTACATGAAGCTGTTATGTGCATGGAGCTTGGGTGGTCGACAGATCATTCTTGAGACGGATAGCTTAGAAACTGTCAATGTTATTAAAGAGGTGCGAGCTGATAATAATCGGTTATCTTTTTTGCGACATGTTGAGACGTTGCTGCGAAGAGAATGGGTAGTTCGGATAAATCATATACCAAGAGAGAGAAACCAGCTAGCAGATTGTATGGCGAAGGTGGTGGACCAAAGCCATTTTGATTGTGTTACGTTTGAAGACCCTCCTCCTGTGGTGAGGACGATACTGGAGGCAGATGACCATGGTGGTGTTAATTAATTAGCTTTATAGTTTTTCATTTGTCATAAAAATAAAAGTTAATAATAAACTTTCATTAATTTACAAATTAATTATTAGTACATGTGTCATAATGTTAATGGTAGGACATATATAAGGTGGGAGCGGGACATGAATGTAAATTTGAATCATGAGATATGAATATAAAAAGTTATATTAAAAATTTAAGGGTGTAAAATAAAAAAAAAATTAAGGGATACGAAACTAAATAATTCATACACAAGAAAATTTAAAATTTCTAAGGGGTTGTGAACCTCCCTCGATCCATCCCTAGGTGTGGGAGAATTCTATTCCTTTGTTTGACAGTTAGATATTTATTTCAACATATTTTAATAAGATAACTACGGAAAATATGCATGCCAACCAGCAATGCAAAATACTACAGTCCAAGATGCTTCAAATTTTGTTCAAAAACAGCAACGAATTCATCCATTTGATGCTTGTTTAAAGCTACACCCACCTCAATTCCGACTTGCCCATCCCTACACTCCGCCATGGATATCGCTCCGTCGTGCTCGATATGTGTCAGCTCAACCTTGCAGGGCCTTCACCACCCAAAATCCGTATCATACACTCCTAGTTTTGGTGATCCGGCAATTGTTGTAAGACGCCCTGTTATTGCTCGTTCTATTATAGCCGATCCCGGATTCTCTGCCCATTCCAAACCACTTCTCTTCGCTTCTTTAATCGTTCTCCCGATTGCCTTCGCAGCTAAAACGATCCCATCTTCTCCGATTAATTCGCTTTTCTTTACATTGACAATGCATGGTTTTAAACAGTTCCCGAAGTATGTTGACGGAACTGGAAATTCTAAACGGTTCCGACAATCACTTGGAAACATGAAGTAATAGAACTTATTATCGTCATCGTCATTGTTTGATAAATTATTGGCAGGGGTTACTTTCGATTTAATCAAAGAAACCCATATGAAGGCACATGTGACCACGAAAGTTGAGATGTGAGATTGCTCTGTATCACCTGTTGTGACCAACTGCTTTAGTCTCTCGATTCGAGCTTGATCGAATGCAAATGTGGCTCGAACCTTGTCTACTGGTATATCTTTGGTTGGTGCTGAATTTTCGCCACGGGATGATACCCAATGCCAGTAATTCTTCAGGTAAGCCAACTCTAGGCCAGCAGGATCCTTGATAACATCCTTGTTGATCATGGGAAGTGAGTTTTCGAGAATTAGGTCACCATCCGTCGCACCTGACCTACAAACAGACGTCCAAGACCTCATGAAATGCATGAATGACTTACCGTCACCAATCGCGTGACAATAAGTTGATCCGATGCATATCCCGGAATTCGGAAACACGGTGACTCGAAACGCTAAGATGGGAAGCACACGAATTCCTTCCTCGGTTACTTCTTCCGACGGAAGTTGTGGAACGAAGGGGTGTAACAATTCGACATCCCGCGGATAATCGGCCACAACATGGTTGAAATCTTCTTCCGATTCAGCGACCGTGAAGGTGACAAAGTCGCCCTCCGTGTAACGGATAAAAGGCTTGTCGGGCGATCGAGGGCACATGATGTGAGCTGCGTATGGGAAGAAGTGTTGGAGAGTCAAGGAGAGAGAGCGTTTGAGCATAGGAAGAGTGGTTTCCATGAAGTGCAAAGAAGGGTGAGGGAATTCATAGAAGAAAAGGCGTTGGACATTATGACAAGATAACCATGGCATGTCATAATAAGTGAGAGGCAATGAGACAGTGGGAACCGAGCCCGGCGGCGGCGGCAAAACACGAAAGGTGTCGAGAACCTTTACCATACTGCTTTCAACCATCTATGATCAAATCCAGAAATTTTTGCAGACATTCACACCTTACAGTTCACACACCAGCATACATAGGATGGAATTGCGGCAATATATAATATTTTAATATAGTTTTATACAACTAACAAGTATTTAACACAACTACCAAGTAAATATGGAAATATGCACAACTACCATTCTACCAAGTAAAAAGAGAATATTTTAAAAAAAAGTAAATCATAATAATAATAATAATAAATATGAATATATATGCACAACAACCGAGTAAATAAGGAAGGATGATAATAGAAAGGATGAAAATATGAACAACTACCAAGTAAATAAGAAACAATAATAATAATAAATATGAAAATATGCACAACTACCAAGTAATGGTGACAATTGAGAGTTCATGAGAGATTTTGAGGGTTGATTTGAATTTGGGCTAAGTCGGGTTTAAAATTAATGATCGACTTCAGATCGAATCAAACATAATTTGATGCATACACAACTGTTTGGATTATTATTTTAAATATAAATAAATTAACGTACATTTGAAAATAAAATTATTAAAATTTAGATTATCTAGAAAAAATAATATTCTCTTTATTATTAAGGCCATTCATTGAATTTACTTGTAAAATAATTCTTTTATATAGATTAATTAAATAATTATTTAAACCACTCAATAAATTTAAATAAGGTAATAGATAAAATAAAACAAATGATTAAAAATTATTTTTAAAATGGACAGGTTAATTTTTTATTATGTTTTCATTTGATATATATTTTATTTTATTTTAAATTATTGCTAACTAATTTGAAAACTAATTTAAAGATAATTACGAACAAACTCGCACTTAAACCTCGAAAGAATTCATCAAACAAAGTTCTCAAATTCAAATTTCATTTTCTTTTCGGGGGAAATTACTTCAGATACCACTGAACTTTTTCCCGACTTGTTTATACTACTGAAATTTGAATTTTACAAATAATAGCATTGAACTTTAATTTTACATTCAATTATGTCACTCCCTGTTAAGTTACTAATGAGACGATAGCATGGCTAACGTTTGTTGACGTTACATGCCACAACAAAAAGACGTTTTTTGCAGCTATTCTAATGCCTAAAATAACATCATTTTAGACACTAAACTTTAGGGGTATTAATTTTGTTATTAAACTTTTATACAAATTATTTTTTTGGCACTGCACTTTACAGCCACTATCAGTAGTTAATCATGCCCGTCACTGTTCATAATATGCGGTAAATCAATACCAAAATGCTCGTATTTCACTCATCATTCTTCTCCTATGAATAGTTATCCACAAAATCAACTCAAAATCAACAAAATTAAATAAAAAATCTACCATTTTTAAATCTTTAGAGACTTTCTTAGATTTATAGGATTTGGGGTGTACATTCTAAAATCTGAACGATAAAAAGCATTATTTCGAGAATAAGAATAACATACCGCAAAACTAGCCTCATCAAACAATCTTTGAAAGAGATCGAAGTATTAATACGTTGAATTTTTAAATAAATTTTTGTCATTTTTGAAAGGATTTCATAGAAAATCAATATTATGAGAAAAAATTGGAGTAAAATTTGAACGTTTTGAAAGTTTAACAACAAAAAGACGTTTTTTGCAGCTATTATAATGCCTAAAATAACATCATTTTAGACACTAAACTTTAGGGGTATTAATTTTGTTATTAAACTTTTATACAAATTATTTTTTTGGCACTGCACTTTTCAGCCACTATCAGTAGTTAATCATGCCCGTCACTGTTCATAATATGCGGTAAATCAATACCAAAATGCTCGTATTTCACTCCTCATTCTTCTCATATGAATAGTTATCCACAAAATCAACTCAAAATCAACAAAATTAAATAAAAAATCTACCATTTTTAAATCTTTAGAGACTTTCTTAGATTTATAGGATTTGGGGTGTACATTCTAAAATCTGAACGATAAAAAGCATTATTTCGAGAATACGAATAACATACCGCAAAACTAGCCTCATCAAACAATCTTTGAAAGAGATCGAAGTATTAATACGTTGAATTTTTAAATAAATTTTTGTCATTTTTGAAAGGATTTCATAGAAAATCAATATTATGAGAAAAAATTGGAGTGAAATTTGAACGTTTTGATACTAATTTTGACACAACGTATGACCGGACAAGCAATGTTTAACAACCAATAGCCACCAAAAAATGCAGTGTAAAAAAACTATTTAAAAGTTTAATGACAAAATCGATACACTCTTAAAATTTAATATCTAAAATGCCATTTTAGACATCAAAATAATTGCACCTAAACGTCATTTTTGTTTGACATGCCACGACAACAAATGTTAGCCATTTCATCATCACATTAGTTACTCAACGGTAGAGTAACATAATTAAATGAAAAACTAAAACTAAATGTTATAATTAAAAAAATAAAAATTTAGTAATATAAACGAATCAACAGACGAAATTCAATTGTATCTAAAGTTGTTTTACCTTCTTTTTATCGACTAAAATCAATACTTCAAAATCGGAGCGCTTGTGGGATATCCCTTATGATCTAACGGCTCGTATTCTCAGCCGCCTAACGACTATTTTTCCAACGTTTATATATATCTCTCCAATTACTCCCTGTCGCTCTTTCCCAGTTACCCTAAATTTCTCAAAGCTTAGCAAAAGTTCTTTGAATTCTTCGTATTTTTGTACACTCAAATCCGCAGTTGATTTTCGTTTTCTTGAAGCAGTTCTTGATTGAAAGCGCGAAAGATGAGTGTCCTTCAATACCCATATTTGGTCAATGTGTCAACGCTTCACGTTTGGAACAATGCGGCATTCGACGATGGAGGATCTGAAGATACAAGCACCGTCAAGGTTTCTGGGGCTAATCTTGAATCCGTGCCGGTGAACCAGTCACTAATTGTGGTAAAGAAAACCTGAGGGCCCCCTTGCCTAAAATCCTCTGTTTCTTTCAAAAGAAAAAAAGCGGGGAAGCGTGATGAGAAAAAGATTTATATGGAGATTGAAGCTACCGAGGAGGAGATCACTCGTCTGTCATTGAAACTCGAATCTCTTCGACACGAAAAGGCCGAATATAAAGCAAGGAGGGTTTCAATGAGAGGGAGAACAGTGGCTTCTAAATTCATGATGCAAAAAAAGAGCACCAAGAATTTCGAGAAGAAGATCGAAGATCCTCTGTTTTCAAGTGCTAAAACAAAATTGAACCCTGCGGATGTTGCCACCTCTGTTGTTTCAATGCAGAGCCGCCGCAAATCCTGCTTCTATAAGCTGCGAGATATGGGTGAAGAGAAGGTTAAAAGCAGGAAAGGCAAGAGGTGGAGCATGAGTCTTGGCCCAAAATCACGCAGAACAATATCCAAGACTCAAGCTTCTAGGCCAACGAAGAGCACGGTCGGGTATAAAAGAGGCTTGAGGAGAGAAGACTGGGTTCTCGCTACAATTCAACCCAAAAATCTTTTCAAAGAGGGAGAAAAATCAGAAACTGCGAAAATACCACCCAAACAGGGAAGGATGGTGGTGAGCCGGTACAATCAGATTGTAAATCAAAGCAATAGGAATTTGGCTACAAACAATCCTCGAAAGCGGTCTTTGACAGAAACTGATAATGATGAGAGTAACAGACAGGGCAAGAGACTTGCTTCTCGTGAAGAAACGATGGATTCCTCCTGCAAGAATCAGAAGAGTATAAGCAGAGTGAAATGGGAAAATCATGTAGAGAGTTAATTGAATTGAGGGGAATGAAGATGAATAATGATGGTTTCACAGTTTGGTTTTAATTCTAGGGGTGAACCATAATTCTTTGTTATGGTTTAAGACTCGATAGTTTAGAGTTTGGTTGTCATCTGTGAGATTCTGCAAGCACTTGGTACAAACCAAAAAGAAAATAGAGGCAGTCCTGAGTGTTACTTCTAAAGACAGCCATTTACTCCAGAAAGTTCAGGATCCCCACGGCTCCGCAACAAAGAAATTTGCCCCAACCATTACGAAAATTCAAACACTAGTACATGAAATAGTGTTAGAAAATTCAGACGAGTGGAGAAAATAGAATACAAATCAACAGTGTTCATACGAACAATGGTTTAGCATTGACAGATGACAGATGATACAGTTGTTCAACAATACGACACAATTTACATCAAAACAAGAAGATATGTAATTCCCTGCAAAATTAACAAAAGATAAACAATTTAGTGCTGTTATTTAACTCCAATCTGGTAAAAATGCAAGAGAAGAAGCTGATGACAACACAACTATACGAGTTTTTCAGACCCTAAACCACATTTCAGATTTAGGGTATAGTGAAATTCGATCAAAATGTAAAAATATTACGTAAACAATAAATGAAAGCCTCGGTTGAATCCTTAAATATCAAAGAATTGCAGCATCTGCCAAGTAGGTTCGTTCTTGGCTCCACTGCACCTCATTCAAGAGTGGATTAGATCTTCATTGGCTCACCAACACCATATATAAAGAAAACATAATTTATTTTAATGAAGTCTGAGCAAAATCCAGTACCTTCATGAATGATGTAGCAACAAAAGTAGGTTCCCCTGAATTCAGGGCTTGAGAAAATCTACACCTCAAACAAGCGGATAAATCATCATAGACCATTTAAAAAGAAAAACAAATAAAATATGATTTTGTTTTAAAAATCGCAAAGGCTCGGATGAACAATTCAGCTTCTCAATCAAGAATTTTCTGAAGAAGAACTGGCATAATAAGCTGTAATTTAAATCTTCATAGCCAACTGCATAAATCTTATTAGAAACTTCCTGTGGATTGGCTCATATCAATAAATTCAACCATTTTTACGGTTAACATGTTGAAAGGTAAAAAAATTAGCATTTTTAAATCAAAATTCACGGTTTATTCAAATTAGACAGCCAATATTGTTGAAAATTTGATTAAAAATTAAATAAGAAAATTCAACCAAATTTTCAACAAAATCAACTGCCAAATTTGGATTAACCTTCAATCTTAATTTTAAATAATGTCAAATTTTGAATGCAACAAAATTGGAATTTGACTTTTCAACATAATATGCTTCACTGATAGGATCTCAGAAGCGCGGATAAAACAAATTTAATCATCGCCAACACCAAAAAACAAATCAATTGAAAAGAAAAAGAAAATATAGCGGATGTTTTTAGAGGCAAAATCATGAAAGGAGATGCCCCCACGTGTAACACCGCCAGATCGAGTATATGCCTCGATGACTAGCCTAGCTTCCGGTCAGTTCGTCGAAAACAAGCTAAAGGTGTAGTGAGGCAAAAACAAGACGAGATATGTAGCCGCCGATTTGACACAGAAGAGCCAGTGGATGAGCAAAGGCTACTCCGCAACACGTGAAACGGCATGGATCTAGCACCAACATTGGGGCTTTGATCTTCATAGGTAGAGATTCGGATAAGCCCGGGAGAGTTCGTGCAGAGGAAAACGAAATCATTTTTGCAAACAAATACTTGAATGCTTTCAACTTATGGAGCAACTGATGAAAACGCGAACAAAGAAGCAGTGAGCATAGCTTTGGTGGCTGCTTCTTGTAGGGTGAGAGTGTGAAGAGAAGAGGCGAGCATGAATCATTTATATAGAGATATCTTTCTTTTTAAACCCTAGATGTAGAGTTAAAAACCCTAAACAGTTAGTTGGGATACTTGGATTAGGCTTCAATCTCACTGGATCAAATGTGTTTTTGTACTTTAATTGGGCCCTCCAACCCAGCTAAAGTTATTCTATCTAAATAATACGTCGAAAAACATTAATCTTATATTAGAAAGAAAAATAAATTTTATAGAATTTATAAATAATATTTTTATACATATTATCAGAAATATCTTTCGAGAATAAAATAATAATTTCACAATAAAAGAAATTTCCAAGTAAAAAAAAAATCGATTCTTAATATTTTTAACATTAATATTATATATGCTTAGAAAGAAAATAATATATTTCTTGAGCGCAACAAATTTGCTTTAACATAAATTGAATGTGCTTTTGAAAATCATAAAATAATAAATATAATCATAAATCAATTATAATAAAAAATATCGGATTTATTTTCAATTGAGACATTTTAAGATGCATTAAAAAGATAATTGAAAGATAATCGATATTAGGGATAACATGAGTTGGGTCAGGTGTTTGACTCACTTGAATTTGACCTAAAAATTAAACTTTTACACTTGCATCTGACCTGATATGAGTTTAGGAGGGTCTCATTTGACCTGAAATTTGATCTTTTTAGCTTTACAAAAATTTATGACCATTGGATGAGTGAAAATATATGGATGAGATTAACAATAGGAAATGAGAAGATATTCACTAAAAATGAATAAGGAATCAATCTCAACCATCTATTTTCACTTATCTGACGATTCTAAATCCGTGTAAAATTAAATAATGTTACATTGTGTAATCGATATTAGGGATAACATGAGTTGGGTCAGGTGTTTGATTCACTTGAATTTGACCTAAAAATTAAACTTTTACACTTGCATCTGACTAGATATGAGTTTAGGAGGGTCTCATTTGACCTGAAATTTGATCTTTTTAGTTTTACAAAAATTTATGATCATTGGATGAGTGAAAATATATGGATGAGATTAACAATAGGAAATGAGAAGATATTCACTAAAAATGAATAAGGAATCAATCGCAACCATCTATTTTCACTTATCTGACGATTCTAAATCCGTGTAAAATTAAAGAATGTTACATTGTGTAATTTTATAGGATAAAATTCGAATCAAATATTCATTTCTAATTTTATTAAGAACTGCATAATAGACCATGATTAATAATAAATTTGGAAACTGAGGTACGTTAACAAATGGTTTCCGGGTGGAAAATGCAAGCACAATTAGACTCTAGACTTCATTAAAATGACAGCAAACTCGAATTCATATAAACTACAAGGGGACTCTTAAAACACACAATTCGATAACCGATTGCCTTTATTCTGTAATTGATTCAAAGTTCCATATCCAAAGCACGTTCAAGGACGTGCACCACCACGGCCTCCTGGGATCGGCACCTCGAAACCAGGGTTCGGAACAAACGTGTCATCACCACCCGGAACTAGCTATTTCCACCACTCGTGCTGCCACTGTGACCGCCACTTCCGGTAGAGTGCGGATGGTGATGTTTGAAAATAGGTGGGCAGCAGCACTCGTCCGAGGCCCGGAATGAGCACTCTGCGGTCGTGTTTCAGAAACTCGGGGTGCTTCATTTGATCATCGTTCATCGGCATGTCTCGTGCCGCGGTCGCTTGCCCGGAAATAGCCAGCAGGATGCCGACAACGGAAACGAGAGCAACAAACAAGGATCTCATTTTCCAAGCCATTATAATTCAGAGTGAGAAATAGCTAGGATTGGTTCTACACTACTCGTTGGTATGGTGGTGAGAAAGGGGATTCACAAACGACTCTTATATAGGGAAGGTTCAACTGAGTTGGTTGATCATGTAGCGGTGAGTCAAAATGAGGGTTCCATGTTGAAAACACCATTTGAAGGCGACCTTCCAAAAAAAAAACACAGGCAAATGCATGCGATTATGTTAGCTTGAAGTGCATATAGGTAGGTTAGGTGGCTTAGGGTTGGCGAGTTGGGTGAGTTGTTGCGGTGAGTTATAAGATTCTTTCTCTTCAAAGGTCCATGTATAAACCCTATAACTCCATTTACGTTCTCTTTCAATGCAATAATATAGAAGGAATTTGTTGGTAAGAAAAATGCAAGATTCACCTGTGAGCAGCAGGGACGAAAGTTGACCTCTGTGATTGGATAGTATTACAATATCGAATTACGTTAAATCTTATATTTTATGCTTATATTATTATATATTAATTTAATTATCTTTATCTTTACAAATTCCTAACTCTCTGAAAAAACTATATTGATAAACAAAACATAATTATCATGTCCCCTTGCGAAGTTTTAAATGCCACCAACCAAAACGGAGGATTTAATCCATTTTGCTCATGTGAGTATATTCAATTCGTGCATAAATCTTGTTGATTATTGAAACTATGTGTTTGTTAAAAAAAATTCTTCTTGAAAATTGTATGTTCATATACGTACCCATGCAATGCTACCATGCCGACAAGATAGTCGTTTAAACATGTTCGAAAACTGTTATCGATAATCAAACAACTGCACAATCATCCATCTGTAACTACTCGCATATCATCGTATACAAAAAACAACAGACAGTGAACGAACAATGACCCCATCCGAAGCAAAAATCACCCAAAACTCGAGCTATTTGGGTTCATCTTGTAAAAAAAAGACCTTGCCTTTGCACTTTTTAATCATTTCAGCTTCCCCTATAGCGTTAAATTTTATTGTTTAGTGTCCTACCCTAATTCAAGGAAGCCCACAAGGAACAAAGACTAATTGATGATGAGTTAATTTTTGTGTTAGGTTATTTATTATGGTCGTATTCTTTATATTATACATGAGTTAATTTGTGATACTTTATTAAGAATAACGAAAGTTCTCTTTAATATATTTGTGTCCTAATTGGAAGATCAGAAATAAAAATTCAAGATTTCAATATTAAGATATAATTCGGTGATGAATTCATATATACCATCACATATAGTTTATTATTATGGATGGTTTGACATGATAACTCTTGAATTTAAATTTTATATCAGTTTGATTTAGGATTCTATCGAATAGTGAGTGGTTTTATCATACCTGTGTCACTGTAGTGGTGCTACCAA